GATTTGTAGACATACATGAGTATTTTGAACTGGATTCGAAAGTGAACCGGTAACCAGTGCAGTGAGGCCAAAACTGGTGTAATGTGCTCTCTTTTGCCTGTACTGGTTAAAAATCGGGCTGCTGCATTCTGGACCAGTTGTAGTCGTGCAATGGAGGTCTGACTGATACCAAACAGGAGTGAATTGCAGTAATCAAGCCTAGATGTAATGAATGCATGTATTACTGTCTCCAGGTTCTTTTTGGACAATATGGGCTTCAGTTTAGACAGCCGCCTCAGTTGGAAGAAGCATGATTTAACAATCATGTTTACATGATTGTTAAGTTTCAGGGAAGGGTCCATTATCACGCCCAGATTAGTGACTCTTTGTTTTTCTGACAGGGTTAGAGCAGAGAGGTCGATACAGTGGTTTGTGATCCTGTCGTTGGGAGGGAACAACATGACTTCAGACTTCTTTTCATTGAAACTTAAGAAGTTTAAAGCCATCCAGTCCCTGATGTCAGCCAGGCAGTTGAGCAGCGGTTGAATAGAGCATGTACCATTGTGTCTTAGGGGGAAGTAAATTTGACAGTCATCGGCATAGAAGTGGAAGGGCATGTTGTGTTTCCGGAAAATAGCACCAAGCGGCAGCAGGTATAAAGAGAATAGGAGGGGACCCAGGATGGACCCCTGCGGAACTGAGTAACTTTAAATACTGAGCTCTCCTGCATCTCAGGCAGGGGAGCATTAGGTGTCAAGCTGCACCTTCACGGCCGTCTCCTAGTGCCTTGGTATTCCGTGTATCTCCTATGAATGTGAGTAGTATCGCTGCCCCAACAGCATTATATTGTTGCCTTTTTGTGATGAAAACACCTTTTTGTGACTTCGTTGGAGTCCTGCTTTCATTTGACTCTCAACCACCCACCAGTCGTGATAGAATGCTCCCCTCCAAGAGACCCAGCAAGCAGAAAGGACTGTGCATCGAGAGAGAAGAGAGTGGGACATGAGATCGCCTCGGTCTTACCTGGCACACTCCATGACGGTTTCCACGCCCTCGATGTTTCCTGCTCCTGAGATGGTGAACATAGCTCCTGATTTACCACCGTTGGTGGATCAGGTGACTCTTCCACACTTTTGTGGTATAATAACCCTGAACCCTAAACATGACTTAGGGTGCATTCACACCAGCCCTGTTTAGTCCGCTTTAATCGAACTATAGCTCGTTTTCCTAGAAATTCCGGTTCGTTTAGGGAGGTGTGAACGCGCCATCGAACTCTGTCACGGAACAAAAAGGCGAACTCTGGCCCGGGCTAAAACCTAGGTCTCGGTCCGGTAGAAGAGAACTCCAGCACGGTTCGAGTACGGTGTGAATGTAAACAGACCGGACCCGCTCCACAGGACAAACAAACACACATTTCTCTGACCTTATATGGAGCCGTCAGCTGCCTTGTGTGATAAACAATATTCTCCATGGTCTTCTGTCTCATCTTCTGCTCATGCTGAGTCCATTTTTGAAAAATGACAAAATATAACTCCTAAAACTGCTAAAACTTGATGCCACTTCGTTTTTGTTTTTATTTACAAAAGAAGAAGTGTCTTCAGAGGTTTTTGTGTCGTTTCTTTCAGTAGTTCTTGATGCAGCGCCCCCACAGGCGAGCGGGGGAACAGGTTGGTTCAACAGGTTGGTTCAACAGGTTGGTTCAACAACAGGTTGGTTCAACAGGTTGGCTCGACTGCACAGTGCAGTGTGAATGCAAACGCACCAGCTCAAATGTAACAAAATGTCATGAATATTGGTCCCCAACCGAACCGAGTCTACCGGACTATCTGGTGTGAAAACGACCTTACAATGTTCAGTGTACAGACGAACAAAGACAGGCAGTTTTACAGCAGCAGTCTGCAGTTTAATGTCTGTGGCGGTTCTGGGGTGGGTCCAACAGGGGCCAGTGCCCTCATAACACTGAGTCTGGGCCCGCCTGTGGCCCCCCCCTCCAAATGAAGATTATACAGTAATTATTAATATTTTGATATTGTGCCAATGCAAAAGGTGGAACCAGTGCGTGTGGCACACCATTGTAGTAGGACCCAGTGTTCACAGCGGACTCCGGTCCGGATGCGCGCGCTCGCGACACGTGATGAAGAACAGCTGAGTGAAGCGCGGCACTTGGAAACAGCGCCTCCTCTCGGAGCGCTCAGCGCTGCCTCTCATGATGTCATTGCTATTTTAACTCACCACTTAGGTCCAGTTAAAAACATACGGATTACTCTCTTGTTCTGCAGTTTCTACCTTTGGAGTCACATTTTAAATTCTTCACATTCCGGCGACAGCGTCTGTTTTTTCTGCATCAGTTCTGGTCACGTTTACATGAAGCTGTCGGCTTTTCAAATACAAGGTGAGTTTCAACACAAATTTTAAAACTCTGTTCCTCACGTAGCAAATCTAGAATCGTATTTAACACCTTGTACAGGTTGGAATCTTTAAAAACAACGAGATTTGATGTGATTTACAGGATCAGCAACCATCTTTTGAAGAGCCGCGGTGCGGGAGGAGCTCCTCCACTTGTCTCTGTGTGAGTTTTTCTGGCCCAGTTTAATGATCATCTCATTGTTTTAAGAAATAACCACAGATAAATAAATTTAAAAAGATGTATTAATGTTTATTACATTTTAAATGTTTTTCATTTTCATTTTATGATGAACAGAATCAGGTTTTGATGAAGAAGATTAGTTTTTTTAAAAACCTAATCCATAAAGATAAAAACTTTTCTCTAGTTTTAAAAATGCATGCCAGAATGTAATAAAACTCATTTGGATAGTGTTTTTCATTCAGTTCTTAAAGAACTGATAAGATTAACAGGATTAAACATTAAACATAACGTTTATTTGTATTATTTTTTTCAGCTTTGACCCAGGGCTCAATTCTTGTCTTTTTATTTCTTTTCAGGCTACAGGGAGCGATGGTTTGACAGGGAGCAATGGTTTGACAGGGAGCAATGGTTTGACAGGGAGCGATGGTTTGACAGGGAGCGATGGTTTGACAGGGAGCGATGGTTTGACAGGGAGCGATGGTTTGACAGGGAGCGATGGTTTGACAGGGAGCAATGGTTTGACAGGGAGCAATGGTTTGACAGGGAGCAATGGTTTTGACAGTGTCAGTGTTGGACTGCAGCTCAACATGTTCATTCAAAACCCATTTGTCATCACAGATGAGCTTCTCAAAGGAAGTCACACAGAACTTGAAGGGGGTAAATGCTGGACAGAGTTAGCTGACCTCCAAGCAGATTTGGACCTGAAGGAGCAGTTTGTCAGGACTGATCCTTCCACCTTCTGGCTCCAAATGGTTCCCGATTCAGCTTTTCCAGGTCTGAAGCAAGTAGTCTTGCAGATCTGGACCATGTTTGGCTCCTCACACAACTGTGAGGCAGCTTTCTCCACAATGAACATTATAAAAACCAAATATCGTTCCAGGCTCAACACCTGCACACATGCATGAGAACGGCTCTGACTCCGTTCCAGCCCAGTTTCAAAATTCTGTCAGGACAAGCAGGAGCTCCCTTCTCTCACTGACCTCAGTGTTCAGTTATTAAATGTGTCCACATTTAAATTCTTTCAATAGTTTGAGATGCTTGAGTCCACACGTGAAAGATAAAAATGTAAATCAAACTTTTCTTCCATTTCTTTTGTTCTGAAGTTAACATAAACAGTTATGTTTTACTTATGTTCTTATTTTGACATGTTATGCTATTACTCAGTACATGAGAGAATATTAGACATCAGAAATTAAACATACATGTTCAGTTCTTTACATCATGACAATAAATATTGTCAAAAAGTACTGGAATAAGGCTGAATTCATTTCATTTGATAGGCAAATTAATGCATGCAGATGTTGATACAACTACATAGCTACTTATATATGTGTGTGTGTGTGTTTCTCTCCATTGCATGTTGTGTCTAGTGCAAATTTAAGAGAAAAAAGGGCATTACTTCCTATTTCTGCACAAGACAGATGAATAAGAATGAGGCAGACACTGAGATAGAACCAGATGATGTTGGTGAGAGAGCTGAAGAGAAGCAAGTTAAGGGCACCACAGGGAGTGATCCAGAGGACTTGGGAGATGTTCAGAGAGAGACAGAGAGACAGATGAAGATCCTGGGAGTGAGGAAGCTGAGACTGTGATACAAGCAGAGTGTGAGACACACAGAGAATATATGTACATCCACAAGCGCTGGACCAACAGGTTTGTGATGTTGACAACCAAACAAAACATTTGTTTGTTAATGTTTATTTAACAGGGACAATACAGACAACGTTGCCTTTAAAAATGGGAAAATGTGATTCATATAAGACATCTAGCTTCAGCTAATTTGCAGTCTTAGAATACATAGCTCTTTAGAATACAATGAAAGAATGTACTGATTACAATAAAAATGCAATTAATAAATAAATTAAAATAATAAGTTAATAAAATAATAATAAATTGAATGTGCCTCTCTGACAAAACCTCTGGCCCCAGCCAGGCCCCCTCAGCAAAACTGGTGTAGAACCGCCACTGTGTGGCAGACAGTTTAATCTGAGGAATCTTGAGCGTTAGTCTTCCATTCTGCGTTCTTGCAGCAATAAAACAATCAAAGGTTGTGCCTAAAACTTTGTAAACTACCAGTTTATACTTCCTGGTAGTTTAGAAAGACAGATTACTCGATCAGTCACATTATAATGTAGATCAAATCTGATTTACAACACAAACAAAACAATAAAAACAGTCAAAGGAAATGATCTCAGTGAGTCTGACGATGCGTTCAAGTCATGGAGAGTCGTGGGAACGTTTTAGACATTGTTGTGCTTCAAACGTGTACATTTCATAACCATAAAGTAGTTTTCTGTCTAAACAAATCTACTCAAAGTACGTGTTTGTTTCTTCTCCAGTTACTTCTTGACTCGTTATTTCGAGTTTTTAGACTGATGAAATATGCGCTTTGTTTGGAAAAGTGAGGTGTACGGAAGACATTGAATGCAGCACTATTTCCTGGTCTAAAAAAATACGCCGTCAGTGAAGTCGAGATGATTTTAAATCTAATTTATCTGTTTGATTGACACAACGTGAAACTTGTTTCCTGAGCCACAGCACCGCAGAGACCTTCCCGGAGATGATCGGGGGACATTCGTGCCCGGATAGACGAAACCCCGCGGTCTCTACAAGCCAGGTAACGTTAGCAGACGAGCTAACCGAAGCTAGCAGCTAACTTTCAGCTAGCAAAATAACGTCGGCGCTTTGATGTGACACCTCAGCTGTGCTCAGAGGAACCGAACTCGACAGCAAGACTCGGTTCTGGTTTCTGTCATGAAGTGAGCAGAGCGTGCTTCATCGGACCCAACTCTTCATCAACAAGTGGTTTTATTTACAGTCCGGCAGCTCGGCTCTCTGACAGCACCAGTCTGGTACCAGTGTTTACAACTGGGACCAGCAAACACTTTGACGTCCTTTAGTCTGGTTCAGTCCATCTGTCCGCACGCTGGACACGTCCTGTTTCAGAACAGTGGCAGCAGCTCGGGCTGATGTTTTGGAGACAGAGGGACAGACTGGACTGAGGTGTCCATCCCATCATGCTTCAGTGACTCAGGGCAGATTGATACTAAGAAGCTTACACACGCACACGCGCGCACACACAGAGGAAAACAACACGGTTCACTCTGATGCGGTAAATCTCTCTGTAGGCAGGGCTTAATTTGAAAACGGATTGATGCCGGAACGTGTGTGTGGGGGGTCCTCTCACAGAAGACTTTGAACAACAGAGATGCCATTTCCTGCATTTTGATGTATTTTAATCGGTTGTTATACATCAACATTTACCTACATTTGTGAACTCTTAATAAAAATACTATTTAAGCGGAGCAGCAGGTTGAATTAGAGCACATCTGATTCTGTGAGGTGTCCTAAACCCCCCTCCTCCCTCCCCTTACCCACATTAGCAACCCCGGGGCCCCCTGGGCACTGAAGCTCTCAGGGCCCCGCTCTCTAACCTAACACCAATTTTATATTTAAAAAAGTTAAGTCTGGTCCTCTGGACATAAAACAAAACAAAGCAAAACAACAACAACAACAAAATGTAGAAACGTTTCATCTTTCATCCGAAAGACTTCTTAAGTCTGAGGCGCTGTATTCAGCTCAGTCTTATAAATATCACCTTCTCAGAGCGTATAGTATAGATATATGTGTGTGTGTGTGTGTATATATATATATATATATATATATATATATATATATTGTGTATACTGTAAATATATCCTGCAGTAATCCAGGCTAAAGGAGCCCCAACTAAGTATTGAGTACTGTACATGTTCATACTTTTCAGTTAGCCACCATTTCTAAAAATCAATTTTTTTTAATTGGTCTTGAGTAATATTGTAATTTTCTAAGATACTGAATTTGGGTTTTTCATTAGTTGTCAGGCCAGGACTCTGAGGTCTACACTCATCTCCAGGCCAGCGGTCACTCTTTCAGGGATGAAGATGTTCACATCCTGGACAGAGAGGAACGATGGTTTGAGAGAGGAGTAAAGGAGGCCATCTTTGTGAAAAGAAACCGTCCATCATTAAACAGGGGTGGAGCCTCCAGGTTCAACTGTCCCCCTCTTACAATGCTGTGATTGCTAGTATCACTCAGCCCTCTGTGAATAGTAAACAGCCATCAGGTGCTAATGATCCATTGTTAGGCTCATGGTCCTTCTTGACCATGTGAGAACCCTCATTTTGGTTATGTTTGAAGAGTTTTCTATAATGTATTATGTTAAACACAAATACCTGTACTGTCACTTTAAGAGCACTTTGTTAGGACGTCAGTTGTGTACCACTGAGATGGAGGTAGGAAATTTTCTTTGCTCTCGATTAAGCTCACGTTTTATTAAATATACAACATAAACATAACCACATGCAGTGTGAATGTTTATGTGTTAAAACACTGCAAACATCTGAGTGATGTGTTTTGGATCAAAACGGCGTATCTTGTCGACATATTCACGCTTTACAATGACACAAACAAGTGGATGCAACAACAATAAGCGTCCTGCAGCGTATGGACGCTGTGGACGGTTTTGTGCACAAACTGGAGTACAGTAAAGGGGAGCTGCAGCAGTTTGTGCTGCTGCTGAAGCAGCTGGCACTATTCGCGTGTCTTTACGCACAGAGTTTATCCAGCACATGAACCTGCTCTGTCAGGAGATGAAAAGCCACTTTGCTGACATGGATGAACATTTGTCAAGAGAAACATGGGTCATGGACCCCTACATTTCCACTATCAAACATGTGGAATACCTTGGCTGTGAAGTTGAGCTTTGTGACCTCCAGGCTGATTCTGTATCCAAAATATATTTCTAAGAAAATGTATACAAAAAGTTTTGGACTGCCAAAAGACAAATCTTTGCACCCAGACTGGCCAAACATGCACTGATGAGGGTTATTCTTCCATTCAGCACTACTTACCTGTCTGAGGCAGCCTTCAGTGCTCCTGTGTCAATAAAAACAGAAGCCTGCAACAGTCCATCAAGACTTTAGGTTGGACCACACCTGACATCAAAACCCTGGTCACAAACATGCACGCCCAGGGTGGCCAATAGATCAAGAATGAACAGACTGACAGATACACTATTGGTTGTTTGACCTTATTGCTGGGTTTCTTCTGTTTTAATAATATGCACAGTGTATAAACACTCACGGCGTCAGCCATCTTGTTAGCCGCTAAGGACCTTATCTTTAGCGATATGATAAACTGCTGCTTTATTAATGTCGCGCTTCCTCTCTGTGTTCCTCTAAAAAAACACAGCACGGCTAAATGAGCTCTGAACCGTGGTTTGCTTCAAGGAAGGAGACAGGTCTGTCGGAGCTGCAGCTTCAAGGTTCCAAGTGGAGGCTCACTACCACAGTTCATACACGCTGACTAACGTGAAGGCGGCGCAGCTGGATGGACTGTACTTGTATATCACCTTTCTACCTTATCAACACACTCAAAGCTCTTTACGACAATCTGTGCCTCATTTTCCCACTCATACAGCTCTCTACCAGATCTCTATAATCAGAGCTTTATCACAGTCATACACCGATGGGACACACATCAGAGGCAAAGAGGGGTTCAGTGTCTTGTCCAGGGACACTTCAGTATGTGACTGCTGGTGGAATCGAACCCCCAACTCTCCCATTGGAGGACGACTGCTCTAACCACTCAGCCATAGCTGCCCCAAAAGTGCGTGAAGCTTGTCGAAGCAGTCTTCCAGGTGATGAGCTGAATCTTTTTTACTTGTGTTTTTCAGTGAGGGACATGGACAGCTCTGTCACTCTATGGCAGTTCCTCCTCCAGCTCCTCCTGGACTCCAGTAATGAGCAGCTCATCTGTTGGACCAACGAGGAGGGAGAGTTCAAACTGCTGCAGGCAGAGGAGGTGGCCCGGCTGTGGGGAGCCCGCAAGAACAAACCAAACATGAACTACGACAAACTCAGCCGAGCTCTCAGATACTACTATGACAAGGTGAGCTCAGAGATCAGCTACTCAGCAGGGAGCCAAGACTTCACAACTAAATGTCCCCACATGTTCAAGCTGAACTGTGTTTTTAGTTCAGACTATATCACTGCACTGCTCTACACTGTCACAGTTTTACACCCCAGACACTGAAGCTGACGTACAGAAATCATTATCATGTTAAATCAAAGCGTGCAGCTAAAACCAGATTCCTCTTCTTTAATCAGTTCACTGTCCTCCAAGAAACCAATGAAAATACAATTAATGTAAAACTAAAGCAGACTTGTGTTTCACTTCAGCTCAGTTCTTTCTGCTTTGCTGTCATTTCCAGCCTTACCTGTTCGTCCTCTCGTTCTCTCCTGCTACTTTTAGCCCCCCCCGGCAGCTTGGTGGGGCTGTATGGATACGTTTAACACACATTGCCTGCTGCCTGTTTGCACTAACAGGACAGGTTGCTCCGTTAACCGTGGGCTGTGGGTTAAAAACCTTCAATCAGTTGGTGATCTATTCAGTCAGGTGGTTTTTATAAGGAAGGGTGGACTGGGCTGTCCTGGTCACTGTACAGCTGTGGAAGTAAAACCAAATCACTGCTGAATCACAGAGAACAGATCTGTAGGTCACTTTAGATGGAACGGTGTTATTGTCACAGCTCACGTTTGAAATCTGGAAACTGTAGGAAAAACAACAGTTTTCTGGAAACAACTGGTTTTCCAGGACAGGGATGGCAGGTTCAAGGTCAGCTGCTTGTAGCTGCTTCAGCCCTAAAGGCTCCAGTACACGCGTCCTGTCAGCTGCGCGGAAACTGTGCGCACTGTCCGCAGATGGTGAGACTTCATCCTCAAGCGTCGACCCTGAGCGGCTGCAGTCAGCTCCGCAGACAAGGGGCGTTTACCTTTGGGACAAATTGAGGTCGCCGATTGGTCATTTGCTGACACGCCTACTGGATTGATTGACATGTTAAAAAAAACACAAAACAACCCAAGAGCTAGCAGCCCCAGCAGCAATGGTGTTCTGTGTTTATATGTTGTTAATAAAAAGTTCTAGAAAATATAAAACCAGGGAGCGCTGGCCCTGCAGCCCACACATCAGACCAGCCCACCAGGAAATCTCCAGACCCTCCCACAGCCACGCAGGACCTGAGTTTAATTCTCTCGTGACAAACTCCTTCATTTCTCACCATTTCAGTCATGGCATCAACGGAGGAGGAAGAGATCACTGCCTCTTGGCAAAAAACTAAAGAAAAGGCCAGATCAGGGATGAAGAAGAGGAATTTAATACATTGTTGTTGCATTCAAAACATTCCGTCGCTGGGCAGTTTATTGTGCGATATCGAGTACGCATACACGGTCGTAAAGACTGAGCTTTGCATGGACGTGCCCTGCAGGCGTCCACTTCGACTCTAATCCGGTACACACGGACCTCTGCAGACTGACGTACGCACGAGTATACTGGAGGCTAAATGCAGCAGGGAAAATGACTTCAGCTGCAGAATCCAACATTTCTATCTGCGGTGCTTCATGGTGCAAATCCAGAGATGAGGCTCTTGAGCTTCACAGAGAAAACTGCCACAGCATTTTACTGATCGATTATATAAATAAAACCAATAAGTGTTTTAAAGTTGTTTGGCAGACTGTGTTTAACAGCTGATTGTGAAAAGCTGCTGTGATGCAACATGGAGCTGATCATCTCCACAGCTGATGAATCAGGAAAACTATGACACAATGAGGCTACAAGGAGCAGAGGTCGCAAAGGTCCAGGACTTCAGGGACTTAAGGTCCACTGTCCAGGAGGACAGGGAGTGAGGTGAAGAGGTGAAGAAGAGAGTCCAGGCAGGATGGAGAAAAGTTTCAGGAGATGTGTAACATAAAGGTGTCAGCAAAGGTCAAAGGAAAAGTTTACAAGACAGTGGTGAGACCAGCTATGTTGTATGGTCTGGAGACAGAGACATGGACAAAAAGACAGGAGACAGAACTGGAACTGTCAGAAATGAAGATGTTGAGGTTCTCCTTAGGAGAGACAAGGATGGAGAAGATCAGGAATGAGATCATCAGAGGTACAACACAGGTTGAACAACTGGGAGACAAAGTTAGAGAGACAACACTGAGATGGTTTGGACATGTCCAGAGGAGGGACAGTGGTTTGGACATGTCCAGAGGAGGGACAGTGGGTATATTGGTAGAAGGATGTTAGAAAAGCAGCTGCCAGGAACAAGACAAACGAGATATATGGATGCAGTTGGAGAGGACATGGAGGTAGTTGGAGTGAGGACAGAGGATGCAGAGGACAGAGTGAGGACAGAGGACAGAGTGAGGACAGAGGACAGAGTGAGATGGAGGAGGATGACTCGCTGTGGAGACCCCTGAAGAGAGAAAAGCTGAAAGAAGAATCAGACTGTGGTTGCATCAGGAATGGCGTCCAGCATAAAACAATTGTTAAATCCTTATGTGAGGTGTGTGTGTGTGTGCGTGCACACGTGTGCAGATGGGTAAATGAGGTCACAGGTTGTGTTGTAAAGCGCTTTGAGTGTCCTGGTTGGATGGGAAGGAGCTATTTAAACACAGTCCATTGACCAGGTTTAAATGTAATTTGTTTATTGGACAGGGAAAGTTAAGCTAGGTGAAATGAAAATCTGATCCTTACGAATGATAAAATCCTGTTGCTGATGGACTCCAGTGGTGGATACATTTGTCCAGCATTAGTGGGCCACAGTCATTATGTTGTATGTGTTGACATTAGCATGGTTTCACATTAGGGTTGCTGAAAAAAATCAATTCTTTAAAGAATCTAGATTCCTGGTGATCCTGAATCGATGCTAAAAACCATTAAATTGATTTTAAGATGCGTTTGTTTCATTTTTTTCCGCTCCTACTCCGAGCGTACTGCATATCGCATTACTTGTCCACCCGTCACCATAGAATATGGCCTTGTAGGCCACCGTACAGCAAGCTAGTTAGCCAACTCCCTTTATCTGAATGGAGTCTGCTAGCATGGAGGAGGGAGACAGCGTGATTCAACCCACTCCTTCGTTGTTAAAAATCAGTGTATGGGCACATTTTGGATTCTACAATGTTCTGGGGAAGACAGAGCTTGACACCAGCACGGTTGTTTGCAAGAAGTGTAAAATAAAATTGCAGTACAGTATTTTGGAAATACGACAAATGCCCATTTGGCAAGACATCACTCTGAACTAAAGGAAGATGAAAAGCAGCCAAAACAAAAGCAGCAAACCAGTGACCTCTGGAGCAATGCATTGTCCCCCCGGGGGGGCTCCTCTGTGGTTAGAGTAGTTTTTCTGTGTATCTGTCAGAGAACGTCCTGCTTCTGCCCACTTGTTGCTTTCCTCTCTTTTGCAGAACATCATTAAGAAGGTGAACGGTCAGAAGTTTGTCTATCGCTTCGTGTCCTATCCTGACATCCTGAAAGGAGATGCTGCCACCCGAACAGACAGTGCGGACCTGGCTGCTGGGGGCTTCACACCTACAAGTAGGAGGGGAGACGGCACTCTACTGGAGGGTGAGTCTGACGACAGGTCGAAGGCAGGAGGAGGCGCAGCAGCTGTGGGGGCTGGCATCAAGCAGTCAAACAGAAACGACTACATTCACTCCGGCCTGTACACCTCCTTCCACCTCAATTCACTACAAAACAAACACCAACTATTTAGGTCCATCAAAATAGAGAATCCTGCTGAGAAATTGGTTGAAAAGAGAGGTCCCACTGCTCCTCCACAGAGCCAGGAGACGCCTCCTCAGCCACAACCTCCAACTGCTCTGCCATCAGTCATTAAGTTTGGAAACAGCCCCCCAAAGCCAGCACCGACAGCCCCCCCTCAGGTGGTTTTAGAGCCCACTCTGACACACTGCAGCCTGGACTCTCTCCAAGGGCCACCTCTGAGGGCTGAAGACGTCAGCACACACTCCTCCCTGCAGCCTCCGTCTGTCTACCTCTTCGAGCACACCCGACCCTCAGAGCCAGTATTCTCCCTGTCAGACCTGAGCTCAGCCAGTCCATCCCCAAACCTCCTGCCAGAGTCCTCCCAGGACCTCAGTGTCCACAGTGATGTGGAGACGAGAAGCTCGGAGCCATCAGCCTCTCATGCACAGGAAACTGCAGACACTCAGGCACAAGACAAGGTCAGTACTCGTGCACACACATATCTTAGTGTTGACATCACACGGGTTGGGCTCAGAGCCGTATCTCTTCTCTTGATGTTTCCAGTTTCTTCTTTTCTTTTGAATTCAGTGTTTTATTATAAAGCACATTTTTTCTCCTTAAAAGTAGTAGTGCCCCAATACCAGCCTCAAGTACTCATACTTTTACTCATAACAACACCCTGATACTTCAAACTAATACCACCTTTATACTTGGTGATATAATTTTCTCTTCCACTTTGCAAGTAACTGAGGACATAAAATAAAAAATGTCCATAGAGTAGATATTTAAGGTAAACACAGGGGATGTGAAGACAGCAGACAGATGTGTTCTTCATAAAATAAATGTTCTTCTAAAGTCATTGTGTAATGTATTAAATCATTAACTACTCAGTGTTGGCCAGTACCGGGGGGTGGGGGATGGGGGTGGCAATAGGGAGGTTCGGGAGGATTCCTGAACAAGCGGTCAGTTCCAGGCTGAACCGGCCGCTGTTGATCGGTATATTAGTTTAGTTTAGTTTTTTTAAACCCTGCTACACCCTCACACAGCCGCAGGTGTCAGTCAAACATCACATCCAAGCAGCCCCTCCCAATTTGAAAAAGAAAAAAGAAAGAAATGAGAGCGGGTTGCAAACTTGCTAAGAAGAAAGAAGAAAGAGATGGATGGTGCAGAAAAACTAAGGGAGAAGAAAAAGAAAAAGTTATGCAGCCAAATGTGCTAAAATAGCAGACATTTTCGGTGGTGGTGGTGTGGGGGGTGGGGGCAGTGCACATGACTAAAGTCAGCCAGGACAGTGATAACAGGACCGAGCAGCTCGGATACAGCAGGTTAACAAGCAGTACATGGACCCATCATCGTACCAGAGTGGACGTGTACAGTAGTCCCTCATTTATCGAGGGGGATCTGTACCCTGAAACCTTGCAATAAGTGAAAAACTGCAACGTGGTGATAGTAGTATAAGTAGTAAGTAATAATATATATATATATATATATATATATATTTTTATCATTACTTACTAC